CTAGGGGCTGCCAGAGAGCAGCCCAGCCCTATGGGAGGAGAGGAGCCTGAGGCTGGGCTCTGGCTGGCCCCCTTGTGGCTGACCAGATCCAGCATTAAAGTCCCTGTGTTAATGCGCATTAACACATCTACATGTGTGTTAATGTGCTTTAACTAATCACGCCTAAATTTGATACTTGCTTTATGCAGGTATCAAATTTAGGTGGGATTAGCTGAAATTCTCCATCTTTGAGGTGCATTAAGGGTGCACATGTGTAGATGCATGCCCTTAATGAGCCTTACATCGGGTTAATGTGCATTAAATATGCACATGTAGAGCACCCAATGTGTAGATTCACGCAGTGTCAGCTTCAAGAGGATGGGTGGATAGCCTGTCATCTGGCACTTAGGGCACTCAACAGACAGGCAGGGGATGAGTATGTCACCCTCTTTTAGGATAAAGAGGAAATTGACTGCATGTCTCATTGTCTTAGGTAAGTGCTCTAACCAGAAATTTTTAAGAGGTTAGATAAATATTTATGTACGATCATTTAGACACAGATGATCCTGCCTTGAGCAGACAGTTGCTCAAGACTAGAGGACTTCTTGAGGTCTCTTCCAGCCCTACTTCTTCATGATTCTATGACTTAGATAGCTTTATTTTGTCTAAGACCTGCTTAGGTAACAAAGTCCTTTAACGGGTGGATCAAAATACAAAATGAGTTATGTCTATCAGCTTAAGTCCAGATCCTTCACCAGAGAGGAGTGTTTGAGGAATGACCTTGATGCTCAAGTTATTGCTTCTCATTTTCTTGGGACTGTCTAAAAAGGACAAGATCTAATACATCAGCTTCTGAACTTGTTCACCAGGAAAGACAAGTGCTTGCATAGTTTCTGAAGGTGCAGGGCTCCAAGTTCTTTTCAGTTTATCTCGGTTCATGACAGAAGAGGCGGGGTAAGGACCCAATTGGTGCATGTGAGCCTTAGAAGCTGGGAACCAGCAAACTGTACCTTTGGTTGTCATCATGTATCTCACTCTGTGCTTATTATAGATTTTGTTCCGTGGGCCACAGTACAAAGTTTAGTTGTGTGGAAGAAAATATAATCTCATTCATTGTTTACAGGTGTTTAACATTTCTCCTTCCAGCTGCTACTGGGTGCTGTGTCATGGCTTGCCCCTGGCAGTCAGATGAGCTCATTTTTTTTGTGAATGGCAAGAAGGTAAGTTTTGTGGTGTGTTGTTTTGGGAGAATTCTTAATGATTCCTGTAGTTAAAAGGAGAATAGTGCACTGTAGAGCTGCAGCTCGACAATATGTTGAGCGAGAAAAGTTACATTTGTCCATCCCATGAACTGAGGTATTAGCTTGCTTAGTTCTTTTAATCCAGTTGTTTTGATTAATGTATCTGGACCAAGAGTTCAAAACTGCCTAAGAAATTGGATTTTTTTTTGTATTAAACTGAATATTGGAGTCACCATATCCCTTTGGTAGATTTGAAAGATATCTCTAAAGCATTTGGAAACATAAAGGGGCTTGCTTTGGTGAAATATTTTCTATCTTCCTATAAGTATTGAAAGTACTTATATAACAGTAATGGATTTATATTATCCTCTATGTCACAACAATATTTTAATGTAATTTATTTACCAAAACTTCACACTAGCAGGATCCCTAATTTAGTGCCTTTGGGGTGAAAAAAGAAGGTTTCTTGCTGCTTATTGTATCAGCGATTCTCAACTGTGGCACCCTGATGTGCCTTGAGATCTTTCCATGGGTAACATGAGGTGCTGCACAATGTTAGCACTGTTAGCTGTGCAAGCATGATTTATAAAATAAACCCAAAGATTTCAAAGAGAAATTCACAGTGTTAAAAATATTCTGACCTGTTGTGGTCTTTCTGAGTTCTTTGCAACAGAATTGCTCTATTATGTTTCCGTAGTCAAAAAAAAATGTGAAAACCAAGAGCTTGCATTTTCTGAGGGGTGCCTTGAGTCTGAAAAGAGAACCACCGTATTATATCTTTAATAAGACAGTTAAAAAAAACACTTCTTTTTTTTCCTTTGTGTCTAATAGGGAGTGCCAGGTGAAACTTAACGTATCTTTTTCTGCAAGATTTATTTTCTCACCTCCCTAAGTATACCGCTCAAACTGAACCAGGGAAATGTAATCTTTCAGAAATGTTGGTTATTGATTGTTTCTTTTAGAACAATTTATCCAGAGAGTTCTTTTATGTTGTGTGTTTTTTCTTGAGTCAGACAAAACATTTTAAATGTTCCCTATGTTTTTATCTCCTATCAATGTACTCCATGGAAGTAAGAGCATATTTCAGAAATGATATATAGGTCAAATTCTGTTGACTGATCCCAATAGCTATCTTGGTTTTTGGTAGTACCATTTTTATCCTAGTTGGTTAACATCCCTTCATAAAATGGGGAAAATATTCCAGCTAATGTTTAAAATCTGAAAGTTCAAGAAAACCATTGAGATATAGACCTACCCATATTGTGGTAAAATTGATATTTTGCTGCTTATGAGCCACTGTGTAATCCAGAGCAAATATATTCATCTTGCAGTGAGGTCCCCTGCTTTGCCTCCATCCACTATCCTGCCCTTGTTTCATTGATTTATATCCATCTGGGTAGTACCCAGCTGACAGAAGCTCTGCAGATTAGCAGTGAATTTTGTTAAATTTAAAACCCCAAACCTTTTCCTACTCTACATGTCTTGGCCTTTTCTTTCATGTTCCTGCTGCTGGGTGAGGAGAATGGGAGTAAAGATTGGGTTTGTTAAACTATCTCTATGTAGTGATGAGGGTAAAGAACCCCAAACCGTCCCTCACTCTCCCCATCTGCATGAGCCCCTGGCTTTAAAAATAAGGGGTTTGTTCTGCTTTTGCCCCAGTGAACTCTAAATTGAAATGGAGCTACTTCTGGTTTACACTGGACTAAGTGAAGGATCAGACCTAAAATGTTTGTCTTCAGGTAGCTGTTCCCAAGCTCCTGTGACTGCTCAGCCTGTCCTCACTTCCAGCCAGCAAATGCTCCCCAAAACTGCTGCTTGTATTGCTTTATCTGTCAGTGCTTGATCAAATTCATTATTGCTGGATGTGTTCCTGGATCTACAGATTATGGTCAAATGAAAGGATTATGCAATTAACTAGGCATACTGCATTAATCCCCATTAAAAACATTTCAAAAGCATAGCTAATCCCAGTGGGAAAATTGCCTTGTGAGTCAATAACCCCTAACATTATATATTTATTTTCTACTGCAGATAATAGAGAAGCATGCGGAACCTGAAGAACTGTTGTTGTCTTATTTGAGAAAAGGACGTATCCTTTTGGTGTTTTCTCTTTGAACTGTGGAATTTTATAATAGCCTTTAATTGGGGGTTTTGATTTTGCATTGTTTTGTTTTCCTTTCAGAATGCAGGTAGGCAGAAAACAGGCTGGACATAAGGAAGAATTTCTTTACTGTTCGAGCCCCCAAGGTCCAGAATAGCCTGCCATCAGAGGTGGTTCAAGCACCTACTTTGAACGCCTTCAAGAGAAAATTGGATGTTTATATTGCTGGGATCCTATGACTCCAGCTGACTTCCTGCCCTTTGGGCAGGGGGCTGTACTCAATGATCTCCCAAGGCCAAATGTCTATGAAAACAGGCACCTCATTTTGTATGCACGCTTGGCAGCACAGCGTAATTCTTGCAGTTTGGGGGTTATGTATTGGGAAGGTTTGAAGTTATAACAAACATGTCTATAGAACTTGAACTCAGGTCAAAGCGTGTTGTTAGATCTGCCAAAAAAACCCCACTTAAATCCCTTAAGCATTTTAGCTAGTAATGTCATAGGAAAACAAACACCGTCTGACTGTTTCAACCTGAGCCATAGCTTTTTCACAACCCATAAAACATTGTGCAAGGTGACTAGGCTTTGCCCGCTCTGAAGTCAGCCTCAATGGTGAAGAGACATTAAAGTGCAGATTCAAATTACCCCAAAATTTTTCTTTCAGTTTTTTGGCCCTGGAGGCTTAAAGAGCTACGAATTTTCACTGTCCCCCTGCCCCCCCTTCCATTTCAGCAAACATCAGCATTGTTGGGCTCAATTCTACTCTGCCATGTCTACATTTGAGGATGAGCTGTGACTCTATCTTAACTAAAACACTTCCTTTTTTCAGCTATTGTATTACTAATAAATATTATTACTACTCTTATTTTAAGAGGGCTAGAAATACTCCATGGCTTTCAAGGAGAATCTCACAATTCTTCCATTTTTTTCTTGAATATTTTCCACCCCTTATTTCCTCATTTCAGTGAGTTGTTAGTATTTGAAGTATTAATGTTTAAAAAGGCACATCTCCATTCTGATAATATTGTCATCTTTAGCTGCAGAATAAAATATTTGTGTAAAAAAAAAAAAGGTAGGTGGCTATGGCAGATCTGGCTGCTGAAACATCCTGCTTTAGGAACATGATGAGCAATTTTCTAGCAAACATTGATTCAAGCTGCAGGTTCTAGTGAACAGAGGGAACTGCCTTCCACCTCTGAACACTAGTCAAGTGACAGGAGACTTGGGGGGGAAATGCAAATAAAAGTGAAATGGAGAACCAGGCACTTTCTTCCTTAACCGCCTCTTTTGCAGTTTGTCTCACAGGGGTGAAAAAAGGCTGTGGAATAGGGGGCTGTGGAGCCTGCACAGTGATGATATCCACGTATGACCCAGTTTCCAAGAAGATACTGTATCCATGTGATAAGATTTAGAAAGTAATTTATTGTTCTCAGAAAGCTGTTTTTAACTGGAGATTTGGGGGGGGGGGGGTCCCTTTTAATTTAGACTTCTACTCTTGGGCTCTGCTGGATAATTTGGTAGTTGTACTAGGCTTTTGTGAGTTTTTTCTGTGCAGAAAACATTTTGACACTGACCAGACTTGGTCCCACAATGTACCTTGTGACATAGACAGTAAATTGCCTCACATTCACATCCCATTGCCAAAGCTTGTTCAGAGAATGGGGACATTGTATTTCCTAGCTTGAGATTTTGCTCTTTTGAGATTACAGCAGCTCTCTAAGCAATTTATGAAAAGTTGAGACTCCCATGTCCTTATTTGAATTTGATTATAGGATATGGCACTTGATGAAAGTCCTTACTTATTTTCCACATCTTGCCCGTCCCCTCTCTGGCAAAGCTCCCCTTGTGTTCTGTGATGAACACAGTAAATTGGATCTCTGTAACATTGCCCATGGCAAGACTCTGAGTGGGTCTACTTTCTGCCTCTCCCTGGCTATGGGAACTCTTTTCCTTCAGTGATGTTGCACTCACCTATGTGATCCCTCCATTTCATTATTTTAGGAGGCCTAATAAAATTTCGGGCATGTTGAGTGTCGGATTTATGGTATAATGGAGGCACACAATTGTGTGTGGTGGGCAGGGTTATGTCCAACTGCTTCTCATACATGTCTCTTTCCCCCAGTGCCCTGTGGTCCAGTTCCAGAAGTTATATACTAGGCAGAATGTAATCTGTTTGTGCTCTGTTCTCTGTGACTATCCCCCCACCTTCCCCTTCCAAATGCTGTGTTACACCATTTTAAATGCCAAGATTCTCCTTCATCTTCCAAAGACATTATCCTGCCAACTCCTGCCTGCTCCCCATATGCTCGCTGCATGGCGCTGCAGTCACCACTGTGGAAGGTGTTGGAAGCACAAAAACCAGGATTCACCCAATTCAGGTACTGTGTAGCACTGGTCAGATTGTTTTGCTTCTTCCTTTCCTGTAGTCTGGCCATATCAGCACTAATGGTAGGACCTTGTGTGTAGGTTCAGTGATTCGCTCCAGTATACAGTTATTGTAAGACAGGAGTGTCAAATACACCCTGTGTCCTGGGCCAGATCTAGACCGTGGAGCTCCACGTGGGCTGGATCCATGGGGCAAATGGTGGAGGTGTCAGCAGCAGTAGCAGAGGTGACAGCAATAAGACCAGCAGAAGTAGGGCAAAGGGGGACTGTGATGGAGGTGACAGGACAAGCAACTACTTGCCATTACAGATGCACAACAAGTGGTGGGGCAAGAGAAGCAGCTGCCAGCACAGCCTTTGCTTCACCCCCTGCCACCAATGGCCATGTCCAATGGACCCCAGGATTTTGTGGCAGGCCACATGCCCATAGGCCACATGTTTGACACCTCTGCTAGAAAGAATTCTGGCTCCTCTTGATTATGAAGGGAATTGTCATAGCAAGAGCCGGGTGAAGGGTCAGGTGAAGGGCCAGGCTATGCATTGGTACACAGGAGGGAATTTGGAACAAGGAGGGAACTGCTACTTGGAATGCAGGGCATGGAAGTAACTGCAGTTTCCACAACACAGAGATTTATCTCTACTAGCCCTTAGGACATAATAGCAAGGGGTGGGAGCATCACCCTGCTCCATTCTCTGTTGCAGCCAGAAGATCTGTCAGCTGTACTGCAGTGATCATGCTGTACTCCACACTCCCTCAACTCAGGCCTGTACCTCCAATGTATAATCTGGCCCATATAACTTTTACTTTTTAAAATCACTTTTCTCTCTTGCATGCCTCATACTGTTTTCTAAGGCCCTTGAGGGTAGGAATGGTCCCTGTTGGGTCCAGCATCTGATTTGCTAGGTGTTGTGACAGGATCCACCTCCAGACCACAGCTGTGGCATCTCCTAGAGCAGAGGTTCCCAAACTGGGGGTACACAAGACATCTCTGGCAGGTACACAGGAGAAATTCTGTAATGGCAGATTTAATTTTCATTATAATAATTGTTGGAAAACCTTTGAGAACCTCTGCTGTAGAGGACACTCCATCCTGACCTGCCCCACCAGGCTCTCAGTCCACCCTCCTATATTATCCTACTATGCCTTGATGTCTGAATAAGATATGGGAGGCTGCCCTCAGAGATGAGAGTAAGCCCTTGGTGCTTAACTCTGTCTTGCTTATCCCTGGGCAGCTTCCTTCTGGCCCCGATCCCCACCTGAACAAGATGTTATGCTACTGATCTTTCCCTCGTCCATGGGCTCCCCAGCCCTGCTTCACTTGCCTTCATGTCTCAGGGCTTATCAGCCCTGAACTGTGGCCCTCTAGGCCTTGATTGCCTTGAGGGCTCTCTGTAGTCTGGACCCCAGGCCCTCGCAGAACTTGGCTTCTGCCCATGCAGCTGCTGCAGGGCCCTGACTCTTGTAGGGGTCTCTGTCTCCATCTCTTTCTCTCTCTTTCTGCTCTGACCCCACACAGGTCCCTGGGTCCCAGAACCTTCAAGGGCCTTGTCCTCTTAATGCTGGGCCCCTGGCCCCACCTCTCTCCTGCTCAGCTTCAGCCCCCACATAGTTCCCTGGGTCCCAGACCCTGGCA